GCCATTTCCTTCTCCAGTGTGTCCCCATTTTTACAGATGAAGAACTGAAGCAAATGGGGTTAAGTGACTTTCATAGGGTCACACAGCCAGTAAGTGTCTGAGGCCAAATTTGAACTCGGATCTTTCTGACTGTAGGCCCAGAATGATGCAAGTAGAGCCAAGACCTAAAAGGACGTCAGTGGGACAAGTAATATCAGTACATCTATTCTGAAGAAACCAACCTAAATATAGGCGGTACTCTATGCATTCTCACTATCTTTATAAGAGAGAGCTTATGATATATACCTAGAACTGTATAATCTCATTTCTCTGCTTCAAATCTTATATTACGAAAACAGAAAGGATGATACCCACCAACCATGTTGGTTAAAAGGTTGAAAGAAAAGCTTCCTTCTCAGGCTATGATAATAGATTGAAGTAAATTTATGGCATATTTGGCATACCGTTGTAATTGTCTCTCTTCAATCACTATAAAATGTACAACATCTTGTACGAATATTACTATGCTCTTGGTAGCTGTGAATGCAAGGTAAGGAAAGAGAGGAAAATATGAAATAATGTTTGATCTGACAAATCAGAGCTTAAATAGACCTATTCAATGTTATGATCTCCACCTTTTCTGACATATACATTACCACAGTGAAGGTAGAAATGAGATCAGATGATGAATAATGGTCATCTGGCTTTAAACCACAGGGTACTTCATGGGATCTCTGATTTGGGTCCTACCATTTCATGGTACCTATGGAGAGACAAGGCTGACCATGTTCCCAGGGGACATAAGGAAGAAAGAGTCCTATATCACATGTTTACTATCAAAGTCCTGATATTCATTCCCATCTACAGTAGTTTAATTTCCTCATTAGCATTTGGTATTTGGACGACACTAATAGTACTGTCAGGTAAAGTAGAAGAAAAGCAATGGGGAAAATGCCAGGAGGCATAATTAAAATGAAGTGCTAATAACTTGGCCCATCAGAAGCACAGTTCATTAAGCAGCCCTGCCAACTGGAAAGGAGCTGGCTGAGTCTGTGAACAGAGGCCATTTGGAGCAAGGTTTTCTGTCCTCACTGCTGTGCCCATTGACACAGCTCTTGCCACTGTACCCATTGACATAGCTCTTACCTTGCCCCTACTAGTGGGCTGCCTACTGGCCCAGGTCTTGTTCAGATCCTTCATGAAAGAGCTTCTGATCTATCCTAACAGATGCTACTACATCTCATACTGATTAAATGGCTCTTTAGTGTTTGTCAAATGTATCTTCCTAGAGCAAGGGCAATGCAGGAGTGATTTGCCTCCCTAAAACATGGACTCATGATTTAGAATTGAAGGAGACCTTAGAAATCATTCAGTTCAATGCCCCTCATTTTTCAGATGATGATATCCTTCAGAGTGATCTAGAAGCTTTGGACAACTGGATGATTTTTTAGGACCCGGCACAACCTCAAGCCACTCCAGTACCTTTGCCAAGAAAATCCCAAATAGGGTCAAGAAGAGTCAGACAAATGAAACGACTCAACAACAAAAATAAAAAAACACCCTACAGATAAAATATCAGATTGAAAAAGGGATGGGGATATAGGCAATGATAGATAACATTCTCCTCCACCCCACCTGAGCCACACACAAAGAGAGATCTTGTCATCACCCTTAAACACACCATCTCCATGTTCAAGAAGCCCAAAATCTCTTTATCTGCTCATAATCTTTTGGTTTCCCACCTCTCCCTCTGCCTTCCCTTACCAAACCCTACTCTTCATCCATACCATGACTTCCAATCCCTTGACACCTCAGTTCTCTCCCAGGCCATCACTAATTCTCTCTTTTCCCCATCTTAATCTTTTGACGAACCAGTTAGACTCTCCACCATGCTCCTCTTTAGAATCTCTGGCCCCACTATCATATTGGCAACCATGCCCTGACAAAGCTCAAGCTTAGATCATTCCCACCATCCATCACCTTTGTTCCCATGCACGTGGTGCTGAATGAAGGTGGAGAAAAATCATGAAACTGTGATGACTGAGTCCATTGCAAATTCATGTTATACAACCTCAACTGGGCCCTTCTTGGGTGCTAGGCAATCCAACCATACCTCCCTTATCAGTTCATAAACCCATTCTCCATAGTGGCTCTTCTAAACCTTTTCATCCCTCCTTAAACTTCTCATGACTCCTTCTCCCCCACTCTCTCAACAGAGATCTTTGTCTTATATTTTACAGAAAAAATAGAAGCCATTTGCTGTGAGCTCCCTCTTCTCCCCTCTTTCACATCTCCTATCTCTTGATACTTTCTGCTACTATCTCCTTCTTCACTCCTGTCCTGGATGAAGAATTGGCCTTACTCATTACCAAGGCTGACCCCTCTATCTGCACAAGTGATCCCATTCCATCCCATCTCCTCCAACAGTTTGCTCCCTGTGATCCTCTGTGATCCTCACTTGTGATCCTCACTCTCTCAATTATCTTCAATGTCTCTTTGCCTACTGGGTCCTTTCCTTTTGCCTACAAGCATGCCCTTGTCTCCTCCGTCCTCAAAAAAGTCACCCTGGAAGCTAGGTGTCACAGTAGTTACAGTGCCATGCCTGGAGTCAAAGTGCAATGCCTGGCACATAGTATCACATAAAAGTTATTATTATTATTATTATTATTATTATTATTATTATTATTATCATATCCTCACTATCATCCTATATCTTTTCTGTCTTTCATTGCTAAAATCCTTGGGAAAGCCATCTACAATAGTTGCTTCTACTTTCTCTCCTCTTACTTTCTTATTAAGCCCCACTAATACAGTTTCCAGTTTCATCATTATCCCAAAACTACTCTCTCCAATGTTACCAATGACCTCTTCGTTGTCAGACCAATGGACTTTAATCATCCTCATTCTTCTTGACTTTTCTTCTGCCTTTGACATTGATTACTCTCTTCTTGATACTCTCTTCTTTCTAGTTTTTCAGGACACTGCTTCCCCTGATTCTCCTCCTACCTATGAGATGTCTCCTCTGCTGAATCCTCTTACATTACAGGTCATGCCCACTAACAATAGGTATCCCATGGGGCTCTTTCCTAGGCCCCTTTTCTTCCTCTACACTGCTTCACTTGGTGACCTCATCAATTCCCATAGATTTAATTATCATCTCTATGCTGATGAATCTCAAATCTACCTAACTTGCACTTAAACACTCTGCTGACCTCCAGCCTTATATCTTCAACTACATTTCTGACATCTCAGACTAGATGTCCAGTAGATGTCTTAAACTAAACGTGTCTAGAACTGAACTCATTTTCTTTCCTCCTCAACTTTCCACTTCTCCAAATTTCTCTATTACCATTGAGGGCACTAGTATCAACCCAGTCCCTCATGCTTGCCCCTCTACCCCTCACTATCTCTCACCCCAGATCCAATCTGTTACCAAGACCTGTTGATTTTGCCTTTCTAACATCTCTAGATTATGCCCCCTTTTGTCTGATACTGCCATAGAGGGATGCAGTGTGCATCTGGTTCATTGTATTGGTGCAGACCCTCACATTCAGACTATTGCAATAACCCTCTGATGGGTCTGCCCGCCTCAAGATTCTCCATTCCAGTCCATCCTCCACTCTACTGCTAAGGTGATTTTCCTAAAGCACAAGTCCTACCATATCAATCCCATACTATCACCTCCAGGATCAAATACAAAATCCTATTTCACATTCTAAGTCCTTAAGTCCTCTCCTGACCTCCTCTTTCCAGTCTTCATACAGCTGACTTTCCTCCATATTCTTTGTGCCCTAATGACACCAGCCTTCCTGCTTTTTCACAGACAAGGCACTCCATCTCTAGGCTCTGAGCATCTTCTCTGGCTGTCCTTCATACCTGAAATGCTCTCCATCTTCATCTCTGCCTCCTTATTGACTTCAAGTTCCAACTAAAATCCCATTCTCTACAGGAAATCTTTCCCATCCCCTCTTAATTCTAGGAACTTTACTCTGCTAAATATCTTCTTTTCATCCTGTATGTAGCTTGTTTGTATGCACCTTTTCGTTTGTTGCCTCCCCCATTGGATTGTGAGAGCAAAAACCATATTTTGCTGATTTTTGTATCCACAGCACTTAGAAGAATAACTGGCACATAATAGGCACTTAATAAATGTTTATTGACTGACTGGAAGGGCTTGCTGGTAAATGTTTAACAATCAGCTTTCAAAAAATATGCTCATGATACATTTGAGTATAATTTGCATTATTAACATTTCTCCATCATTTTAAGTCTAGAAAATCAAAAAAACATTAAAGCAAGCCTTGATTTATAGCATTTACCAATTTCTGAGGTATAAATGCTCACACTTAAAATTTAATAGTTAGATATTTTGAGCCATATACCCCTGGATTTTTACTTAAACCTTTATTTAATGGAATGTAAGTTCTTTGAGGTCAGAGTCTATTTCATTTCTTGTTCTTATGTCCTCAGAGCCTAGCAAAGTGTCTGATATATAGTAAATGCTTAACAATGCTATTAATTAATTAAATACCTATTCTATACAGCGCAATATTCTAGACAGTAGAGGAGAAAAAAGTTTGGAAGGTAGCAAAGTAGTGAAACCTGAGGCCCCAAATAATCACAATTATAACACGCTATGTTTCTATAGGGCAGCTAGGTAGTGCTGTGGATAGAGTACCAAGCCTGGAGTCAGGATGACCAGAATTCAAATCTGTCCTCAGACAAGTTAACTGGCTATGTGACTCTGGGCAAGTTACATAAACCCGTTCACCTCAGTTTCTTCAACTGCAAAATGAACCAAAGAAGGAAATGGCAAACTACTTCAGTATCTTTGCCAAGAAAACCTCAAACAATATCACTGAGAGTCAGACATGACTGAAACAACTGAACAACAATGACAAAAAATGTTTCTATGGTAATTAAAAGTTCAGAAAGCACTTTTACATTTATTATCTTAATTATTCATTGCAGGAAAAATTAGAAAGTAAGTATAACAAGTATTTTTAATTTTTGTTTTACAGATAAGGGAACTGAGACTCAGAAAAATGAAATAATTTCCAAGGGTGTGTTGGAACCAGTTCCGATCCCAGAACCCAATTATTAAATTTTTCCAGGTAAGTATTTACACCTTAGAAATCAGCAAACATTACAAATCAGAGCTCGATGATTACTTTCTTTGTTGTCTAGACTTAAGAAAGTGATGAAGAAAATGTTAATAACGCATATTAAACTTACAAGTGTGTCCTGCGTTTTCAGAAAGCTGGTTATTAAAGTTTTAACAGCATATGCCTGAATTTACCCAAGGTCACATAGATAGTAAGTGAAAGCGCTAAGACCTATGTCATTTAATTCCTACTTCCAAGTTCTTTATAAAATATCAGGTTAATAAGTTATTTATCTATAAGAATGACACTATTGGCTCTACAATCAGCAACACATACATACTGGTATGGTTTTCATTAATGGGGAAGGATTTTTTATTTTTTTCAAGTCTATCCATATTCTCATTCATTGTGATCAAAGGCTTACAATTACGAGACATCTTTCGTTGTTGTTGAGCTGTTCTTCAGTAATATCTGACTCTTCGTGACCCCTTGGCAAAGATACTGGTGGTTTGCCATTTCCTTCTCCAGCTCATTTTACAGATGAGGAAACTGAGGCAAACGGGGTTAACTGACTTGCCCAGGGTCACAAAGCTAGTAAGTGTCTGAGGCCAAATTTGAACTCAGGAAGATGGATCTTTCTGACTGCAAGTCAAGCACTCTATCCACTGTGTCACCTAGCTTCTCACGAGACACCTGACTATGGTCAAAGGCATACAGTCTGTGGTCATAGGTCAAAAGGAGCAAAGCTAACAGCTCTGCTTGGGACTTGAACATGTAACTTTGCTTGGCTTCTACTGTCCCAACCAAGAAAGCTGTTAAGCCATAGCTCTAGGCCGGGGACTGATCACAGTGTACAGATACATTGGAAATGAGATTGCCAAATACTGAAGACAACAATCTTTAAAACAGCTAATCCAGCTGCTGTGTTTCAGTGATATGGACTGGATCCTATTTGGAGGACCCTATTCATTGACTGACCATCTTCCTGATAGGGCGTGGGAGCTCATGACTGTCAGCGAATAAGGGGACATATTACTAGAATCCTAAACCTGTACAAAAGGAGAGCTTTATCACTGGACATTTATAATCCTAGCTCTCGGGGAGGCTAAGGCTGGAGGGGTGATCAAGCTTGGGAATTCTGAGCTACTCCGAAGTAAACTGACTGGGTTTGGCCTTAACATAGTGAGTCCCCAAGAGCAGATGGATACTAGGGTTGCCTAAGGAGGAGTGAATTGACCCAGGTTAGAAACAGATCAGGTTAAGTGAGCTGATCAGTGGTGGGATCAGGCCTGTGAATAACCTTTGTATTTCCAGCCTGGGCAACATTGAGAGATACAATGTTGAAAAAAAAAAAGAAGAGGATAGAAAAGCAAAGGAAAGAGGCGAAAATAATAGGGAAAGGAAGGGGAGGCAAAGGAGGGGAGGAAGGAAGGAAGAAAGGAAGGAAGGAAGGAAGGAAGGAAGGAGGGAAGGAGGAAGGAAGGAAGGGAGGAAGGAGGGAAGGAAGGAAGGAAGGAAGGAAGGAAGGAAGGAAGGAAGGAAGGAAGGAAGGAAGGAAAGAAGGAAGGAAGGAGGGAAGGAAGGAAGGAGGGAAGGAAGGAAGGAAGGAAGGAAGGGAAGGAAGGAAGGAAGGAAGGAAGGAAGGAAGGAAGGAAGGAAGGAAGGAAGGAAGGAAGGAAGGAAAGAAAAGGAAGAGGAGAAAACAGGAGGCGAGCTTTGTTTACTACAAATCATATTAAAAGGACCTGACATTTTTCTTAGTTTTGTTGATTCAATTGTACCAGACAAACACCTTATCTAGTTTTTGCTTGTTTTTGTTTTACTTTCTATTACCTTGTCTGGAATTACTGTTTCATTTGTTTTGTTGAATGGATCTTCTATCTATTGCAGTGTGTCCAATGGTGAACCAGGTTAATAAACTGTATGCATGCTGCAAACTCTATTAGTGCCCCTGAGTGGTCCAAGTGCCTTTTGGAACAAGGCTTTCCTCTTTGGCTGTAGAAGCCTCACCCAGCTTTTTAATTCTAATGCTGAAATTCCCAGCATACTCCAAGAATTGCAACAAAGAGAGTGACTAAGTTATCTATACCTCTCATGGTACTCGGGAAAACAAGATAGCTGTTTGAAAGTAGGTACAACCACCTGACTGCTGTGGCAACCACATGAGAGAGGATATGCAGTTTTATACCAAGAAACTGTTGCTGGGGCTCAGATGCTTACTACTTATGTGACTTTGAACAAGTTGCTTAGCCTGCTGGGCTTCCCTTTTCTCATTCGTTAAATGGCCTCTAAGGTCCCTTCTAGCTCTATATCTACAATCTCTCCCATTTTAAGGATGGGAAAACTGAGGCACAGAGATAAAAAGCATTATTTTCCTCTAGGAGCAAATAATTGCTTTTGGAGATACAATTTAATTCTTTAAGGTGATCCTAAAGCTAAATTTATTTGGCTGAAACAGCAATAACTATACAGTTTGTTTTCTTTGTTGGATTAGGCTTGTGATATCATTGGCAAACAAAGTCCTAGACAGCAAACTCCCTGTACCAACACAGATTAACACCTGCTCTGCAATTTACAGTATCAGAGCTTCTTGAGGACACTCAGAGGCTAAGTAACTTTCTTATGGTCACCCAGACAATATCTCCAAGAGTGGAAATTTAAATCCAGGTATGACTTAAGAGTCATTGACAACATGGTCTAAGAGAGAGAGTTCAGCTTATCAAAAGAGCCAGCTAGTTTTCAGGGAATGGTCTGACTATAGAGGAATCTAAAGTAGATCTCATCTTGCCTAAGACTCACAGTCTAAAACTAGATGATGTGGTGGATAGAGAACTAGGCTTGGAAATAGGAAAACCTGCATTCAAATGTGACATTAGACACTAAGTAGCTGTGTGACCCTAAGCATGTCACTTAACTTCTCTCTGTCTGCTTCAGTTTTCTCACCTGCAAAGAGTGGTATTAATAGCAACTGCCTCCCAGGGTTGCTGTGAGAATAAAATGAGATAATATTTAGTAAGTGCTTTGTAAACCTTAAAGTGCTATATAAATGTTATCTGTTACTATTATTAAAATAGTTTCTTCATGTGGTAAGTCAATGTCCATTGACTTTACATATATATATATATATATATATATATATATATATATATATTCTCTCTCTGTCTCTCTCCCTGCTCTCTTTCACCTTCTCTCTCACCCTTGCTCCCTCTGCTTCCTCCTCTCTGTCTCTCTCTGTCTCACACACACACACACACACACACACACACACACACACACATACACACACACTCACAAAAAGGCAACAATTATATTTTTCCCAGGACCTTTTATGTGTGACAAAGCCCATTCTCTTTGGCCAGCTCAGTGGACTCCTAGATAAATAAGTATCTAACCAAAAAAAGCTATTGAATTCCCCCATAAGGGAATTGATTCTGAAGTACAGTAACCTAGGAAATAAGTTGGTATCGATAGAATCTTTCCTTAGGAGAGAACCAGATTATGTGGAAATCTTATGACCATGAGAAGGAAAACAAGGTGTTATAATTTAGTTTGGGTGTTTTGGAAGGAACATTGGAGTTGAAGTCAGAAGAACTGGATTCACATTCTGGCTTTGCCATTTAATCCCTGTTTGACCTTGGGCTCTAAAATTTAGCACTTTACAAATATTATCTCATTTTTCTTCACCATAACCCTGGAAGGAAGGCTTATTATTATTATTATTATTATTATTATTATTCTCATTCTGTAAATGGGGATACTGAGAGGCAGACATTAAGTTAAGTGACTTGCCCAGGATCACCCAGCTAGTCAGTATCTGAGGCAGGATTTGAACTCTGATTTTTCTAACTCTAGGTCTAGCACTCTAGCAGCCTCTCATGATCTTTTTTCACCTTCTACTACATCCCTTTCAGGATGTTCTGCCAGCCATCAAAAATTTAACAGAGAAAACCAAGGTGGATGGAAAAGCACAAGAGGAAGAAAGATGGTGCCTTTTGCCCTGGGTTATTGATCTGACAACATCTCTACAACCCAAGTATTCTATGCACTGGAGCACTTGGCTAAAATAATCTATTCTAAGCTAAAAATATACAACTTCTCAGGAAATCAGCAAAGAAAAACTAAAGAAAAAATAAATGAGCTTTAGGCTATTCTTAACTTACGAAAATGCAATCACCTTCCTTTGTTTAACTCAACATAAGGCAATTCAACTTTGTTTAGAATCTTTTTTCTAAGTCAGTTTATTCTAAGATGTTTCTCAGAGAAAAAGAGTAAATACTAGTGAAAGAATGAGCTTACACTGGTGAAAGCTTTTCAGGTGTTGCATTAGTATCTGCATATGAAATTCTAGCCAGAGAGGTAGAAAGATATCTTGCCCATTGGGTTTAGCTTAGTTGCTGTAGTTTTTCCCCATCCACTTATCTATATAGGACAAGGAAGAGGTTTGGAGTTGAATGGCTGGGGAATCCTAAACTCCAGAGTTGTTTGGTAGCAAGGTGAATAGCCCTTACATGGATAATGACTGAGAGCAGTCTAGGCCTCAGAGATTAAGATCAGGAGTTTTAGAAAATGCTTGCCATAAGCTAAAGGGAAGTCACCTATGGACCCCTCACACCAAGAGACCAGGAAGTTGAGAAGCCTGGAGCACGTATGTCCACAACCACAGTGTAGCTGTGCTCTGTTGGGTGTGACTTTATCCTAACAATCTGAAGTACCAAGTAGAAAAGGTATTGCCCAAATTCAATCTTCTTCCATTATTTGAACAAACGCATTTGTTGGGGTGGTGTTGGTGTTGGTGGTATAATCCTCTTGAGATGTACATTTCTGAGCCATTGTCTGAGTTGGGTAGTCTTTTCATGACCGGCAGATGGTCTCTTTTGCTTAGAGTCTCTGAGGCGAGTATCAATTTCTAGTTACTCCTCAGGGAATGTAATTGGATGGAAATAAATGGTTGTAGTGGATTTTCTTTTCAGGGTCCTGCCAGTTTCTGGAGATATTTTGTTAACAAACAGGTTTCATAATCCCCCAGTGACTTGGACTGGATGAATTTTCCATTCTAGTAACCTGTGTGTCCCATGAAGACCAAGGTTTCTTAGCAAAATTCTGTCATATCATTGAAGGTCTTGATGATGAACTCGAACATATTATCGTTTATTTATTTTTGTTTTCTTCTGGGATCAGTTGTAGTTGTAGCCAGATGGTAAGCTTCCTTTGCTTTTTCCCTCAGGCTATTGGTTCTGAGTGTCTGATGCTTCTCCATCCACAGAGACTCCAAAATACAAGTCACGGTTCACACTCAAAAATCAGTAGGTAGGGTGCAAAGCCAATGGCATCTTTTCTTGTGGAATTGTACATTTGTACTAAAAGAGCTACACGCTGGTTCCACTGAGATTTCCTTCTGGCCTCAGAGAAGACAACGTGTTCAACATTGTGTAACTGAAGTGTTCAGATGGTGTAGTAAAGTGTTTCACGTAAAGAGTAAAGAGGCTTCATGATGCTAGCCAAAATAAACACCCTTTGAGCAGTGTGCTTTCAAAGTCTCTGTCTTGTTTGGAATGGATCCTGGTCGAAAGTTCTGAGAAATATTTCTCCCATGATACTTTAGTAATTGTGGAAAATTTTTGATTCCTGGACAGATGTGATTATGCTTACTTTGTGAAGTGGTCAGCCACTACTAATATATGGCTTATATTTCTGCTATTTCCTTCCAAAGATAGAAAGTCAATGCAGACAAACTTCCAAGTTCTTAGCACTTCACGTTCTCCAAATATGTAGCATGAACTGGCAGTACTTTTTCTTTGCACACCTGAGCTCAAGGCTCATACTTCTTGGAGACATTGTATTTATCTCAGGCCAATAAAATGTTTCTTACTGGAGACAGGCTCCTGCCTTGACCCGTGTGTCCAAAGTCATTACTTGAAGTTTTCATATCCATAGCTGTGTAACATCACCTGTTTTATAGTATCGTATGTGGGTTCTACAACAGTCCGGTTGTATTCCATTGTATACCTCCAGTTTCTGTCATTATCTCAACATGAATATGCCTTCAAAGGACTGAAGGTAGATCCAACGAATCAAGGTTTACATGTGTAAGGAGGGGACTGGCCAGTGAGGGCTTAGAACATGCTTGGAATTCAACTTCCTGGTGTTAGATACAGATAGAGATAGAGATAGAGATAGAGATAGAGATAGAGATAGAGATAGAGATAGAGATAGAGATAGAGATAGAGATAGAGATATGGATATAGATACGGATATAGATACGGATATAGATATAGATATGGATACAGATATAGATACGGATATAGATATAGATATAGATACGGATACAGATACGGATACGGATACAGATACGGATACGGATACAGATACGATACGGATACAGATACAGATACGGATACGGATACGGATACGGATACGGATAGATACGGATACAGATACGGATACGGATACAGATATAGATACGGATACAGATATAGATACAGATACGGATACAGATACAGATATGGATACGGATACGGATACGGATACGGATACAGATATAGATATAGATACGGATACAGATACAGACACAGATATAGATATAGATACAGATACAGATACAGATACAGATATTGATATAGATATAGATATAGATACAGATACAGATACAGATACAGATACAGATACAGATACAGATATAGATATAGATATAGATAGATACAGATACAGATACAGATATAGATATATAGATACAGATACAGATACAGATACAGATACAGATACAGATATAGATATAGATATAGATATAGATATAGATATAGATATAGATATAGATACAGATATAGATATATAGATATACACGTAGCCCTCTGGCTCCAATCCCAACATGTAGAACTTTGGAAGCCTGTTTCCAACCATGTGTAACTGAGAACCTGGTACTGTATTATAATTAAAAGTCTTCTAAATGGCTGTAGAACTAGAAGAGCTGGTGATTGTGGAGGTGCTGTGCTGGAAATTAATGTGCATAGAAAAGAGATAGTCCACTGATCACTCATTCTTTTCTTTCCTTGTGGTAAGTGAGGCAAGAAATGCTATGAGCTTTGGATTGGGGAGTGGTGGTAGTAGTGGTAGCATGAACATGCAATCCTATACCTGACTGCTGCATCAACTTTTGCATTTGGAAGATTCAGAAGCCCCATGAGAGGTCCAGTTGGCTCTTGGGTCCAATATCAGAGCCCAGTGGAGATAGTAACATTGGCGACCCAAGCAGTAATGACTGATGAGAGAGGAAGCGTCTACAGACAGATATGGAAAGGAAGTCACCTGAGGATGGCAGTGGTTTTGGGGATCATAATGGAGCACCAGCTGTGGACCCTAGAAAGCACTGATCCTCACAGACCAGCAAAGGAGCTACACCTAAAGGGAAAAGGACTCCCTGTGTCAGGACTTGTGAGGTAGCCCTTTGCCACATGTGTACCCTATAATATACCTCACTCTCTTTGTATTTTAAGTCTTAAGTCCCCTCTCCCCAAAGATCATGTGTGTTCAAGGAGAAAGTGTGTCTTTTGTATCAACTGTTCTTTCTATAACCTTCTAAATAAATCCCTTTCCTAAAAGCTAACAAATTGGTTAATAATAGGTACATACCGGTGAAGGAATATTAGAAGTCACAGCTCAGGTTTACCCTAGAAACCTGAAGGGAATAAATAATAGTTAGTCACCATCTGACTCACAGATCCAACCTGTGAGTGCACAGATGGGGAAGGAAAGTGGGTGCTACATATATGCTGCTGGTATAGTATTTGGTAGAAACTACAAACTTTCATTTGCACTCCCATCGCATGTGATTCAGGTCTTTGGGTGTTACCTATAGCTTTCGATTCTTCTTTAGGTATTATATAAATTCAATGTCACCTGGCCTTCTGGGTAGAATATTTGTATCCACATTAGTGAATGTATGTTAAATTCATGGTTGGAAAGTACTTCTACCCACCTCTGGCAAACAGCAGCTCACTTGGCACTGCTCAGAACATACCTCAGTGTGTTGCTGTCAATTCACACTTGCAATTCCTCCCCAACATAAAGTCTGAATTTCTCAGTTCCAACCTACATTAAAACCAAGAATTTCAGTTTGTGTATAGGTTTTTGAGTTTCACTTTCATTCAGACCTCCCTTGGAAAATGAAGATGGTTTCTGTAAGTCTGCTTGAGCTCGGCAAGCTGGCATTTGTATTCAGGATGAAAGGCTTGTTTGGTCTGGTATAGGCCATAACTGGTGTATACATAAAGAAACTGACCAAATCTTTGAAAACTTGTTCACATCTATCAATCCACTGATCTTCAAAGATCTACTCTGAATTCTCCCTTTTGCTTCTGTTTCTCTTCAAAGATATATGCTTAAGTGAGGTCATTCAGTGGCTTAGTAATAGCAGCACAGTTTCTAAGAAATTTTTGATAATGATTGTGGAATCTTAGAAAAGTCTTTAGGTCTCAAAAGATCTTTGTAATTGGCCAAGTCAGGAGTATGTATATCTATCTTCTCTGGGTCAATGCTCACGCCTTGTTGAGATACTCTGTGATTTCAAATGAGAGAGGAGCTACGCAATTAGCACTTAAGTGAAAATGTTGGGCCATTGTTCTTTAGCCAATGCAATGTTTTTATTAGACTCTATTCATGTTCTTCCAGAATCTTCCCAAAGACAGTGTTGTCATTGGGACACACCAATATCCACCAGTAGTTCATGTCTTGAACTGTTTTTTAATCAGTCTTTAAAAAGTGGTAGATGTCCCTGAAATGCCCTGGGGCATAAGATCAAACTGGTGACAAATTTAGGTGGACAGATGAGAGTAGTCTCCTTATCCTTTTCTACCATAGTAATCTGGTCATAACCACTGCACAACCCAATATTGAGAATCAGTGGCTGCCTACTAAATAATCCAATACATCTTGAGCTCTTGGCGTGGTGTACTTATCCACTTTGGTTCTTATGGTTATAAGAAATTTTTCCAGATAATGCCTGGAATGGTCGACAGTTAATGAGCTGGATATTGCGAGTTGATTTTTGGGCACATTCCGACATCCCACTCATGCATTGACAACATGTCAATGTTGTTGAGTTTCTTAC